TTCTGTAGTTTAAGTTTATTATTCGTTTAACTGGAAGAGATGAACCCAATGGTACCGATTTAAGCTTCAAACGATCCTGTTTGAAGAAACTCATAAAAACCGAAAACGCAGGGGTCTAGAGGTTGAAGACCACCTACGTATCATTCTTCAACCAATGATTGTGTGACATTTGTTTTAATTTTATTGGTTTGTCTTTTATTGATTCTGTGTGTTTTTCAATAAGGTCCATAACATGCACAACGCGCCAAGTCCCTCATATCTGCTTACTAACGTTTTTGAAAATGATCAAATGGTCCATACTTTTTAGTTTATTATTTTATTTTCTGATTTTTTTTTGTTTTAATTGTTTTAAACTTCAAAAATTCATGAAAATTTCATTTAAACTTCTAAAATCATGAAACAATTATCAAAAATATATTTTATTTTTCTCTTTCTGATTTTTATTTTTTCACAATTTTATTTTGAGATTTGGTTTTTTTTAATGATATTTCACTTTATTTGACTTGTTTTAATTGTTTAAAAATATTCTTGATTTTTAAATTCTGGAAGGATTCAATGATCTCTTGACAAATATTGGTGATCTCATTTTATTTTTATTTTTTATTTTACTATTTTTCACAAATTTTTGTTTATTTTGCTTATTTATTTATATTTTGAAAATAGTTTCTGACTTTAAAAAAATCTAAAAATATTTGTCAACACTTGCTGACTCATGTTTGACTTCTGATATTTTTTTAGAATTTTTATTTGGTGTTTTAATACATGTTGTGTATTTTACCAATTATTTCCTTTTTAAATCATTTAAATGTTGTTTTATATTAAATTTATTTTTTTATTGGTCCTGATTTGAGACACTTGAGTTTTTTTTGGGGACAATTTCCTCAACCTCATTGGATCTTGGATGTTGATAGGTTGAAACACCAAATCCACCAAAATGGATGAATGATGTTGATGATATTTGAAACCCTAATTTCATCTGATACATTGGTTACAATATTATTCCCCTCCCTTTTCATCTTATCCCTTTCTTGCTTCTACTTGTGCTATATGTTTTTGGAAAATGATCTACATATCATTTCTCTAACATGTTTGGTACATAGATTGCTATTGAGCGGCCTCAAAATATGTGTGACTTCTACATAAGTCCATTTACGATTGCTTAACATAGCGCTAAATTTGTCCCGATTTGAAAAATGATCATTCGTAGACCAAACATATGTTTGCAATCCCAAGTATGTTTAATTTGAAACCTTGGATCCTATAACTTTGAAGTTCATTGTTATGAGACTTTGATTCTATAAATCCTATAATGAACTTCATGAATTTTGGTCTAAGTGAATCATTTGAACATCGTTGGTCATATGTGGTTGCTTTGAGCATTTGAAGTAATGACATACTTGAGAAAAATAAAATGAAACTTATTGTTGAGAGGCTTTTATTTTATCAATCTTCTAATGAGTTTTCAAAAGCAAGCTTCAAGATGGTCATTCAACTAATCTTTTGTACTTGACTTCTAACTTATATTTCACAAACAATTAACTTTACTTTATGCCTTTATTTTGTGTCTTTACTTTTATGTACCATTTATTTTAGCATTTACATCTCATGCTATTTTCCTTTTGTTCACTTGAGCATTTATCTTTCTGTCATTTTATCTTTGCTCATTTGAGCTTTTATTTTCTTTTGAAGACACTTAATAATCAACTTGAACATTAAAAGATTTAAGGTTACTTGGACTACCTGGTTACTATCCTTAGCATTGTGGAGTTGCGGATCTCTCAGACTTAGGATTAGAAACATTGATACTTAGGGACCTTGTTTCTCTGTTGTTATTTTTTCTTAAGTTCTTGGGATTTACTCCAAGGCATTGGGTTGATTTTATTTGTGTGCAAGTTATTTTAATTTTATGCTTTGTCTGTGATTGAGAGTTCCTATGTATACAGTTGTTACTATGTCTAATTTTTGTGAAGACTTAATTCATCTGAAGCTTGTTGTTCCTCAGAGGTTTAGTATTTTTTGCTTGCTTGGTTTTAATCCAAAGGATGAGAATTCTACATTGACTTCTTCATGTCAAGTGTTGGCTTCTTGTTGGTTTGACCATTATTTTCTTTAGCTTTTACTTTATGCTTTAGGATAGTCCCTTCATCTCCTCATTTCTTCTTTAATTTAAAAAAATCTCTCCCTCCTTTTCAAAACTCTTCTTGTTTTCTAACTTGAACCGCTTTCATAATAAACTTGGACTTAGGTCCATGCGTTTTCAAAAATATTTTTTATCAAACTTTAATCAATTTAATCATACTTCGACATCTTTCTCAAGACTAAAAGTTAATTAACCTCATTCAAACCATTTTGCCACTTTGGCTTTTTACTTTAAACTTTTCTCAAAAGTTTAGTCTCTTGTCAATTTTTGTAGTGATGTAAGCTATTATACTTCTATGATATGTAGTGAAGTGAGATATTTTCCACTTGGGTGTTGAGTGAGGCTTTGTTGATTTTAAAATCCAAGCAATATCCTCCACTTTGAAATGATGTAAATTCTCCTTTCTCATAATCATGAGTAGTAAGTATGTTTTCCACTCGGATATGACGATGATGTCTCTTCTCTTAAAATTAACCAACATATATATTTTTAAAACTTTTGAGGTGAACTACGAGTACCCTGATTCCCTATTTCATGGAAGGTGGTACGTAGGCACTAAAGGTTCACAACCACGGCGGGTGCAAAATTGTAAAAAAAAAATACTTCTTTTCTCTTCTTCACCATCTTTTTTTTGTATACACCTTTTATAGCCAAAATACACGGATTTTCAAAGAGGTTCATGCGGAGTACCATAGATGTTTAGGGTGCTAATAACTTCTCTTTGCATAACCAACCCCCATACCTAGATTCTCTCCCCCTCTTTTTGGGTTTATTCGCTCTTTTTCTAGTTCCTTTGGAAACAATAAAGCACTGTGGTGATTTTTTATTTTGATCTGTACGAGTTAAGTCAATCCAATGGCTTAGTCTCAATATTTCTACCGTTATATCTAACACACTGGTGGAGGAAATAGAGAAGATGCTAAACTGTTTCTGATGGAAACGAGGTAGTAACAATAAGGGTATTAGATGGCTAGCATGGTAGAATTTGAGTTATCCAAAAAAGGAAAGAGGGTTGGGATTTTGTGACTTTTAAATCTTTCAATATGGCCATGGTGGCTTACCAGGGTTGGTATATCATGACCAACCAAGATACCTTAGTTTCCAAAGTTTTCAAAACCACATATTTTCCTAACTCTTATTTTTTGGCAGTGAGTTTAAGTACCAATCCAAGCTTTGTATGGAGGAGTCTTTGGAAAGCTCGGGAAGTGTTATTATTAGTGAGTAGATGAAAGATTGGGGACGAAAGTAAGATAAAGGTGATGTCAGATCCATGGATAAGAGGTGAAAGGGGTTGTTGGGTGGAAGCACTACAAGAGCAACATGTTTATAGCTTGATGATCCAGGAACTTATGGATCCTCATTGTAACCAATGTGACTGACAAAATTGCACAATTGTTTTCACCTGAGATTGCTAATAATATTTTATAAGTTTCCCTTGTGGATGAAGTTACGGCGGATTGTATTGTGTGGAATGGGGAGCATAATGGAATCTATAGTGTTAAAATAGGTTATAAACTCTGGTGGCAGGAGCAGCATAAATTCAAAAACAGAAGGTTTGAAGGTGGCTGGTGGAGTTTATGGAGAATTAAAGCGCACTTAAAAACTAAACATCTTATGTGGCGCTTATGTTAGGGCTGCCTTCCTACTAGGAAAAACCTCCAAGAACACTTTGTTCCTTGCCCACAGAGCTGTCAGTTGTGTAATGTCGGCGTGGAAGATGAGTGGCACATTTTCTTCTGTTGTGCATTAAAGAATAATTGTTGGAGTGTTGTAGGGCTTGAACACATCATCAGGCCGCGACTTGCCATTATGCAGGACGCACGGGATGTGATCCATGACATTTGTAGTAAGGAAGATCTCAAAGTAGCAGGAAGAGTAGCGGTCATGGTTTGGGCGTTGTGGAATAACATAAATAATTGGATCTGGAATGAAGAGAAGAAGGATGCAAATTCCCTAGGCGCGCAGGGTTATCATTTGTAGAAGGATTGGTTCTTTGCCTAAGAGCCTCCTGGGAACGACACTAATAGAATCCAACATCAAAGTATTTGGCAACCTCCTCCAACTAGATGGCTGAAATGTAATGTAGATGCGTGGTTTAACAACCAACTTGGCACGACTAATAGAGATGGTGTGTTAGAAAATGTGTCGGTGGTTTCGGGATGGAAGGTACCTCGTGGGATCATGGTCAACCCTCCATTGTTGAAGCAGAGGCATTGGCATTGAAGGAAGCGATCATAGGAACAATTCAGTTAAACTTAAACCATATCATCTTTGAAATTGACTCACAAGTAGTAGTTCAAACTATTCACGTTACTTCATCCAGTAACTCTAAATTTAATATGATCATTGCTAGTATTAAGAATTTTATAGTTACTAGAAACGACTTTGAGGTCAAGTTTGTTAAACGTCAAGTTAATTGTGTTATTTATGGCTTAGCTCGGACGGTCAATTCTTAGTCTCGACGCACGGTACTTTATTTGAGTCCTTGTGATTTATTTAATAATATAAATTTAGTTTATTGTCAAAAAAAATTCAAATAAAAAATAAATTGATATAATGTGCGTTTTGCTAAGTTAACAATGTTTTTTTTTTTTGACACGGCAAAATTTAGAATTCATCACACAAAATTGATAAAGCGACAATAGGATTTACAACTCTGTTTTAATATATTTATATAAATAAATAAATTACAAATGACTTCATCTAGAATGTGGAATCAAAACTTGTTTTTTTAGCAAACAAACACATTCCTAAACAAATTAATATTTTGATTAAATGCAAATTTAGTACGAGATACATACGATAGTATGCAGTTATCTTGATAGTGTCTAATATTTTAAACACTATCAAAATATCTCTTTCATAATACCATTGAGAGAATGCTTAGTAACTTCATCCCTTGTTCGCCGCCAGACGAATTTGATTCTTCCATCGCAATCACTTGATCTGTTGCGTTTCTTTCATAATCACTGTAACAGAATATATTTTCATGAGATGCATACAATTGTATATAGTTTTCTTGACTTGTAACATATTGAAGTGAAAAATCATAGCATCAGGGATAATTCAAATATATTAATAATAGGAATTGAGTACCTTGAATTAATTGGAAAAGATGATTTAGGCTCTTCTTCAATCACAATCACATGATATTCCATGTTGTTTTCTCTATCAAAACAACATGTATATGTTTATTCGAACATTTATATATTTTTTTCTTAAATTGTATACATGACTGTAAAAAACTATATTAAAGGAATACAATACCTTGGATCAAAGCTCTTAGATTGTTGATTTTCCATTTTGTGTTTTTGACAACAATAACAATAGGGTAGAGATAGATCTCAAAACATAGAGGAGTGAATTTAAAGGACTCAAAAACTAAAAGCAACACGTAAAAATTGGAGAAGTTAGTTATTAATTAATAGGAGGAAAATCCTCTTCATTTCGTGTTCATTGAACGAGTGTGTTTTTTTTTACTCAAACATGGGTCAAACATGTGTATATTTATTTTTTTAAATATAAATATTCACCAGACGTGTCTCATCTTTTTCTTTGACTTGGTCATGGGTCTCTTTGCTTTCCACAAAGTTATTACCATTTTTTTTTAGGGGAAAGATTATCATTTTCTTATTAAAATAAATGATTATTGTTTTGAGCCGCATACAATCATTATAAAGGAAAGTATAAAGGAATAGGGACGATCTCATTAAAGTTTGGATCACACAATTTCAATCTCCCGCCATCTTTCATAGTCAAATTTAATTGAACACTAATTCGCTTGAGTCATTTTCACACTCATACTTTTTCTCATTTATTTTCTAACTTAAGTATTGGAATATTAACCTTACGGATTCACTTTAATCTGTCGTATCGGAAGCACTTATTAAAGTCTCATCTCCACTTCATTGTGTCACCAATTTAATTTCCAAAAAGAAAATGCATGCTTAAATTTTAGAATTCGAACCTGCATTATAGTGGTGCATGTTTAAATTCTAAAATATGAAACAAGCTAACCTAACAAAGAGTGAAAGAAAGAAGAAAGAGTTTGAGTTATATGTGGCGTTGGATTATAGAATTTGAACACAAAATAAACATGTTTTGGGTTCTAAGTTTAAAAGACTTTCATCGCATATTCAGGCTAAAATTCTATGCATTTTAATTTTTAACACAAATATGGGTAAATAGGGGGTTTTATCATATTTTTATCCCAAATATGCAAGGAGAGATATTTCTAAAGAAATTGGATTATGCACTGACAGAGTAAAAAAATTTATACGGTCAATCAATCACAATCATAAATCTAACCAAGTCAGATTGTTATTTTAAAAAAAATTATATAATATGAAAAACAATATATTTCTATTAGATGAGAGTGCAATTTTTTTTTTATACTGTCAATCTTTAAACTTATTTCTAAATACTTAGATAAGGTAAAGTAATATTTTAATATATTTATGATAATTTCATATATCTGAGTTATTTATATCCTAAATAAATTAATTTATGACTTGAAAATTGGATATTTACCAAATTATAATTAGATGGATTAAATATATTTTTCGTCTTTATAAGTAGTTCATGATTCAGTTTTACTTCATATAAATATTCTCATGATTTTTCTAAAAAAATTCGTCTAAACTCTACATTTTTAATTTCTGCCGTCTATCTCTCTTAATAGAAGTTGATGTGACACATCACATCGCACACTAACTTAAAGTTAATATTAGAATGGACTAAAAAAAATATGTTATATTGCGGAGTTTCAAAGCTTCTTGAATTTCTTCTAATAGTAAAGTGTTGTTCCCATTCTCCTAATGCACATCACCAATTGATTAAACGCCTTAAACATGTCACAAATCTCCCTATATTTACCACTTACATAAAATGCATATTATTAATCTTTATTAACATATTTACCTCAACCGATTTTCAAACCAAATGGAACATTGTCTTTATCACCTTACCAAATTCCAATGTTTTGGCAAGCTGTGTGAATTGATCAATAATAGGTTTGGTTGAAGGAGAAATATGTTCTGAAGATTTTTGATAGGAAGTTTTCTATCAAAACTATAAATTAGGGTTTTTACATTAAAGAGAGAAGAATACTAAAATGACAAGATAAAAATAGATGGAATAAAAGATAATTTTTTTTAATTAATTTCTTGATAGCTAATGTCTCAATGAGATTACAATATATAGTACTTCTAATGCTAATAAATTTAAAGGCTCAAACACTGCTAAAAGTCCAATTCAACAAAACATTCAAAATAAAATAACAACTAACTTAATTATATTACTAATTAAAATATCTAATTGCATCTCCTATCAATTTCCATGATGGTGTTGACTATATTTCGTCTGTTTAGAAGGCTAATTGAAGAGGAAGACTCTATTACTAGAATGATTTATTATATAAAAAAAGTAAGTGTTAGCTTTTCAAGTTTTGATTTGTCTGTAGAAACCAATGTGAATTTTGAGATGATTTGGTTTTTCAACCCTCAAATCATTTCTTGGGTGATGTATCCTTAAATGATGGAGGCATAATAAATTTCAAAAACACGGCTTCACACGGCTTCTTTAGCACTTCAGAAAGAAGATAGTCATACTGACCCAACATATCATTTTGTTGTAAAATTAAAATAGTTCAATTTTGTTAAGAGATTTTAAGTATTTCAAGTCTTGTAACCAGTTAATACATGGGTGTAATCGATTACAACCATAAAAAATAAGTTAATAAGCTGATTAAAAAATGTTTTTGAAATTGTTGTAATCAGTTACACATTCATAGTAATCGATCACCCCTATTAGTTACTTTTTTATTATTTGTTGTTGTAACTTGTTACAGGTTTGGTGTAACCGGTTACAGGTCTGATATTTTGCTTTTTCTCTTTTTTGGCTTGATGTTTTTGTATTGATAAAGAGAAATTTCACTATATATTCGACTCGACTCGCATGAATTCTTTTACCATTTTTGTTTATTTATGTCATATTACGTCTTTATTTCTATTGCATTTCAGGCATATGCTAACAAAGAGCCTCCATGTGAAGAAATAAATAAACTAAGGAGAAACAAAGAAGAAATGAGCAAAAGCACAAGAAAAAACTTTTTCTAGGCATGTGGCCCTCGCCACGCTTTGTGTGGCCCTCGCCATGGATGTTTCGGAATTGTGGACCTCGCCACGCTTTGTGTGGCCCTCGCCACACATTTTTTATGCAGCCACGTATTTTGTTCTGTTGTGGCTTTCTCCACGTCAACTCAGAAGCTCAGTTTCTGATATTTTTCCGTAAGCCTAGTCTCCCGGAATATTATCCATGAAATTACTAGTTCCTAAATTGTCTCGAGGGCAGTTATGAGAGGTTAGCAGGGAGATTATATAAAGGGAAGTTATTCACAGTACAAGAGGGATTCGACCATTTTTGTTTTGTTCAGAGCATTATTGTTGTTACATTTTAAGCAGAAAAACTCATCATTAAAAGTGATAGCCTTCCATATCGGAGGACTATCATAACTCTAGTTTTAGGTTTATTTTTCATTTTCATCTTGTATTTCTGAATATAAAATCCCGATGGCATCTGTGAGGATTGTAGACTTCAAGTTCCAGTTTATCAATTCCAGTTATTTCATTCAGTTTTTAATTTCCAGGTTTCAATTTAATATTTATTATCTTTGTTCTTAGAAATCATTTTTAGCTTTATTTGTAACTACTTTTATAGCATGTTTGTATTCGAAACTATGTCCGGCTAAATTCCTTGATACAGGTATGTAAAATTAATCGAACGGAAGGGACTCAGAAATCTATTGGCGTAAATATTTACAAACTATTTTTCTGGTTTAGTTTCTAATTCTAATTAAAACAAATTTGTACAAGAGTAAAAAGCAAACAAAGGTTAGAATCAATAAAGCGAGAGTTTGATATTCTAATCAGATAGTAGAAATTAGACATTAATTTTAAATACAGCGAGAGAATTTTAAGATTAATTAGATTTTATTGGTTTTCAAAAAGTAATTTTAAATTTCAAATGAGACAGCGAGAGAAAAGCATTCTAGTTTAGGAGTATAATCAGAGTCAATAACACGAGAGTTTGAGATAAAGGCTTTTAAGTCAGTATTTTCTATTGAGAAAAGTTTTCACATTTAAAACCGCACCAACGATTTATCAAATCCCCGAAGTTTGACGAGTTGTATATCGGTATCCTATCATTAATTATTTGTATTAAAATTTGAATTTGTTTCTCGTTTTCCTCAAAACCCAAGAAAAGAAAAAGACCTTTCGAGAGTTTTCTGAGTAAGGGGGTAGATTATGAAAAGGGAAGGTGTTAGCACCCTTTCCATCCGTAGTCTTCTACGGGGTCCTAGATGCTTAACTCATTTTTAAAATACCTTGTGCTTTCGTGTGTTTTTTGTAAAGTATTTTGAAATTCCAATAGTAAGGCAGTTTGCTTTATGATAACTCTTGTATCAGTCGTCAAGAGTGTTGATGAAGCGTTTTTTGAAAATGTTTTTGAAATGTTTTGTGTAGGTGTAAAAGTTTGTTTTTGAGCATAGCATCTAGAAACTATCTACTTTACTCGAAAGGTTCGTTCTTTTCCTCCTTTCATTTTGACAGTGCTATCCTACTATTAGTTAGTAGGTAGCCCTAGTCGTTTGGATGTTTGAGGGACATCCGAAGGGACGTTTTATAGCCAAAAGGCAACTGGACAAGAAACCTTAGTAACTACCCTAGGGTTATAAGATCATGTTTACCGAGGCAACGTCGAGAGGGTCATCGAGGGACTTATGATCTTTAAACCAGAGGGTAGCCACTAAAATCTCTCATGTTTCAAGAGATGTGACTGTTTTTCCGAAGGTAACCGAAGTGGGAATACCCTAAAGGTGAGTGTTGTACCCAAAAATTTATCCTCTCATGTTTTTCCAAGATTTCCTCTTGCATAGGTGGTTACAAACCTTTGCCTAAAGACAAGGAAATTTTTCAAATAATGGTTAAAGGTCCTTCGATTGGCACCTACAAAATGGCCTTCGATTGGCATCCCCAAAGTTCTTTTCGATTGGCATCTCCAAAGTGTCTTTCGATTGGCATCTCAAAAATGCCTTTTGATTGGCATCTCCAAAATGCCTTTCGATTGGCATCTATAAAATGCATTTCGATTGGAATCTCCAAAATACGTTTCGATTGACATCTACATAGCTTCCTTCGATTGACAAATGCAAAAGGCCTTTCGATTGTCCTCATGACAAGCCTTTCGATGGGCATTGTGTCAAATCCTTTCGATTGGCGTAGCAAAGGACTCTTCGATTGAC